TATATCATGTGATTATATTTGGAATATGGTTATGGATTGATAAAGCTTGTTTAGACTCATACAATGTATATATGTTAGAATCAAGTCTTATAATGAACCTCGGATGTTGGGGATTAGGTTCTAAGGTTTATGGACTAAGGTTAAAGAAAGGATCTTCAGTTAGGTTGTGTTGTCGGACTTACATGTATTAGGGGTGATGTGGGATCACCCATGAGTATGTGTATGGTAAGGTTATACAATGATCTGATGGCTTTGGAACGACTCTTGGCACGTTTGAGGACGAACGTATGTTTAAGTGGGGGTGATTGCAACGACCCGACCGATCGTTTTGAGAATTTACATTATGTTTCGTTGTTTGAGGTCTTGAATAGCTTCATATGATATACTATGACTTGCATGTATGGTCGGTTTTGGTTTTTGAGTGGTTCGGGATTGACTTGGAAGAATGATTCTCATTTTAGAAGCTTTAAGTTGGAAGAGTTTACCAAGGTTGAATTTTGTGTATTTGACCTCGGATTGAAGTTTCGATGGTTCCGTTAGGTTCGAATGGTGATTTTGGACTTAGACATGTCCGGATTTGTATTTGGATATTTCTAGAAGGTTTAGGCTCTAATTGGCGAAAGTTGTCAATTTGAAGGTTTGAAAAGTTCATAAGTTTGACCGAGAGTTGACTTTGATAGTATCGGATTCAGATTGTTGTTCTGGAAGTTGGAATAGCTGCATTTTGTCATTTGGGACTTGTGTGCAAAGTTTGGTTACGATCCGAAGTGTCTAAGAGTGATTCAGACACTTGCACTGCATATTAGTTAAGTTTAAGAATTTAAGTTGACCACGATCAAATATTGGATTTAACGAACTTGGAATCACGATTTGAAATTTTGAACATGCTTGTATGATAATTTTGGACTTGTCCGCAATGTTTGGTCGGATTCCACTGAGTTTTGGATAGGTTTGGGTTGTGTTGCGCTCGTATTTGATGTTTCATGTCGTTTCTTTCAGCATAAATGGTACCACATTAAGCAAATGATCTCTAAATTCTATTTTTATTGAACCATTAGACCCATATCATAATTACAAAACCATAGCAAAAAAGAATTATCGAATTCGGACATCGTATGATGGAGTTATGCCCATTTTAGTGTCGGAGAGGATATATGGTGCTAGTGCTCCGCATATGTGAAGTGGGGTCCGCACCTGCGAACCCGCGGGTGCGAAAAATGATCCGCAAGTGCGGAAATGAAAGCTGGCAGACCGCAGGTGCGAGTTTTTGGCCGCAAAAGTGGAAATCGTTGTGTATTAAAAATCACATTGCGTTCATTTAGTATTTTAACCATATCTTGAGTTCTAGAGCTCCGTTTGAGGTGATTTTTGCGGTGTTCTTCTCGTTTTGGCATGGGGGTCAGTATCTAACTTCAATTTCTTGTATTTTTTACATTATTACACAAGTTTATTTGTGAAGTAATTAATGTTTTGATTGGAGATTTGGGGGTTGTATCTCTAAAACGTAAAAGGATGAAATTTATGGATTTAGAGGTCGATTTGAAGCCGGATTTAGATGAAACTTGTATATTTGGACTCGTATTCGATGAAGTGATCAGAATTTGCGACTTTTGTAGGGTTTCGTGGTGCGGTCCCGGGTTGAATTTTTGGTTGACTTTGAGTATTTGATTAAAGATTCGACCTTTATTGTTTGGGTTTGACTCCTATGGTTTGATGTTTTTGAGTTGCTTTTGGCTAGTTTCGAGCCGTTCAAATGTCGATCCGCGCGGGGAGGCATTTTTTAGGTATGGCTTTGGCTTGTTTGAGTTAAGTATATTACCTAAACTTGGTTGAGGCACTAGTTGCCTGAGTTATTTGTGATAGCTACGGGCTATGGGTGGTGCATATGTGTGGGGTTGAGCCGTGTGCATGAACCAGGGTATTAATTATGCTTGCGGTAGTGCTTAAACTATCATATGCCTCAAATTGATTTCTAAGCTTCATGCTATGATGTTTCTTATATTTGTACCCTTTTTATGAGCTATTTGAACAATGTTTGAGGAATAACTCCAAATTTGTACATAAGTCCCAAATGACAAAACGATCCCATTTCAACTCCCAGAACAATAATCTAAACCCGATAACATCAAAACCAACTCCTGGAACATATGCTTGAAATAACTGTGATTACAGGATATATGCAAAATGTAGATTTTAATAAAATTAAAATATAAATTGTATACCCTAGGCAAGATTGCCATGCTTTAAAAGTGTGGCAATATATTTGTACCACTACTAGAAATTCGGCAAAAATCGACCAAGGTTGACCGACCAAAAAACCAACCAAAGTTGGTCGATTTTTCAAAATATTTTTTTTAAAATTTTTTTTTTTACGAAACCGACCAACTTTGGTCGGTTTTCTTTAGCGCAAAAATGCAGGAAACTAGTTTTGAGTCCCGCGAAATTTATTTTTCAAGAAACCGACCAACTTTGGTCGGTTTTTCAATTAAAATAAATAAAAATTAATATTAAAAAAACCGACCAAAATTGATTGGTTAATTTGGCCGATCATTTAAAAAAACCGATCAACTTTGGTCGGTAATTTTAGTTTTTAATAAAATCGACCAACTTTGGTCGGTTATTTTCGTGCGAAAATATAATTAAAGAGTATAAATCAAATAAAAGACAGTCTTAAAATAAAATACACCAATGGTCTAGTGGTAGAATAGTATCCTGCCACAGTACAGACCCCAGTTCGATTTCCAGATGGTAAATCTTTTGATTACATAATTAAAATACCGACCAACTTTGGTCGATTTTATTTTTTTTTTGGCAATATTTTTCTTTTTTGAATTTAATTGACCGACCAAAGTTGGTCGGTAATTCCCGACCAACTTTGGTCGGTATTCCTTTCCGACCCCTAAAATACCGTCCACACGTAAATAGTCGCGTTTTGGTCGGTTATTGGCCATTACCGACCAACTTTGGTCGGTATTCCTTTCCGACCCCTAAAATACCGTCCACACGTAAATAGTCGCGTTTTGGTCGGTTATTGGCCATTACCGACCAACTTTGATTGTTTTTTTAGTCGGTTTTTACCGGATTTCTAGTAGTGTACGTCTACCATGTATATAAGAAAAGATTACGCTTTGTAAGTATTCCTTTAGAAGCCACGGTTAACAAGTGTGGCCTATAAAGGTAACAAAGGCCATGCTTTCAGAGTGTAGCTGTAATGTACAAAAGTGTAGCCATATGGGGTGTAGTAAACGTTGTCTTTGTTATCTAATAGGTCACGCGTTTAAGCGTGGCTTGTAAGGCAACAGTTGAAAAGCGTGCCCTTAGGTCAAAGGTTACGCAAGTTTTGGCCACCCCCAATAAAGCATTGCCTAAAGTCGAAAAGTGTGGCCTTTGATCAAAGGGCACATTTTTTACTAGTTTAGGCCACACTTTTCCGGGGTGGTCATACGCCTAAAATGTTGTAGTGTAAGCCTATGAACCTTCCAAATCTTCAAATTTTTAACTTTTGCCAAATAGAGCTAAATCAACCTAGGAACCTCCAAATCCAAATACGGACATACGCCAAAGTATAAAATCACAATACAAGCCTATTGTAACCATCAAAATACCAATTCGGGGTTGTTCACCCAAAAGTCAAACCTCAATCAACTCTTATAACCTAAGTTTCCAACCTTGGAACTAAGTGTTCCAATTCACTCCAAAACTTTCGCGAAACCAACTATTCCGGTAAGTCACAAAACAATAAAGAAACATACAGAAAATATCAAATAAGGAAACTGAGTTCAAATACACAAAATGACAGACGGAACCGTTACAGCTTGTATATCGCTTTTAAATATACCAGCGTTATCCCAAATTATGTCATGGGAACCGATCATTGCTTACTAACTTGGAGAAGTCACCTCTTTCACTTTTTTTTTTTTTTTTTCTGATGCTGCATGTGGCGTCAGAAACATAAGTTGATACTTGATGCGATATTAGAAAGGTTGCACCAAGTTGGTGATATGATACGTAATTTTTCTTCTTTGTTTCGAGAGAGCTATAGAGGCAAATGGTTCGCTTCATGGGTCAATGACCAAGTAACAGTCTCTGGCCTCTAGAATTTGGTTGTGATATAGTCACCGTCGAAATTTTCAAAAGATAAATAATCGTCAAGTAGTATGTAGAGTAACAAATGCCTGTTAATAATTTATAATTTATTAAACAATATTGATACAAAATAAAACTCTATGCTATTTTTTTATTTTATTTTCAAGGTTTCATTTTGCTTTATGCATGGGATTTTTACTAGAGTTTCAACTCCTTTACTTTGTTACTTGTATAATTGCTAGCATTAAAATTGCACTTACGCATTGTTTGCAATTTTATTTTTTTTAAATTTTCAAGTGACGTTTACTTATTTTTCTGTTTTATATTTGAAAACATCTCTTCAACCATTAATTTTAAAAATAAAATTTCACATGTTTAAATTTTAAAATAGTTTATATAGGTGATATTGATATAATTCTAAAGTTTTGAGATCATAGATGATGTTTATTTAGTGGGTCTTTTTAATTCATGCAATAATATTAATGAAGTTTTATTTCATTACCTCAAAAGATTAGGGGAGTTAAATTGAATTTATCAATGGTATATACTATTATCAGATAATCTTTTCTTTTTCAATTTCACTATTGCCTTTTAAAGAATGGGTGTGACCAGCTCATGTTGACCGTTTATTTCAAGATGAAAGGGCTCTTTGTCGAATTCAAAAAATGAAAAGAGGTCAATTTTAATATGCTTTTCCAATTATGATGAATTTCTTCTGCACTATTAAAAGCCTTCCAATGAAAAAATAAAAATTAAAAGCCTTCTAAATTGGTGGTTTTTTGTCTTTTTGGAAATCAATGTCATGCAAAAGCTTTACTACTATTAAATTCCAACAAGTATAGACATTATCTTTCTTTATCGTCTTTTGGTTCTTACTCGTCAACATTTGAAAAAGTTCAAGAATGGTCATCCTTGTAATCAGGAAATGGTTTAGTGAATTCTTGACGACCATTATGTGTTTCCTAATGTTTTCTACGTCGATTTTGACCAAAACTAGAAAAAGGAAACAGAAGACGATAGCTAGGGTTTCTCCTTCCAGATTGATGTTGGGAAAATTATTCCCTGTTGAAATCTTGATATTGATAATCACGTTATCTCCATCCAAATAAACCTTTTATTTTAGGTGGGAATATGGTGAGTCCTCAAGGCTTGCATGAAGAAAGATTGGTAGCTGTGGCCATTGATAAAAATAAAGGAAGCCAATATGCACTTAGATGGGCTACTGAGAATGTAATTGCAAAAGGCCAAAAGGTCACGTTACTCCATGTTCCTCAAAATACATCAACGCCTCCATCCCCAACGTCATATCACAATGGTATACGTAATGTCATAATGAATGTTTATATATGATTTTTCTTTTCTTTTTTTTGCTTAGAAACGGAAAGTAATTGCATTACGAGGAAATTAAAAGTTGGTTATTACAAACAACTAAAACTGATCGCATAGCAACCATTCCAGCATAGTCTGTTTATATGATGAGAACATGGTACCTTCAGATAAGCATGTTTCAGTTTTAATAATTAGCAAACGAAGTTTTAAAAAAAAAACAAAAATAAGAAGAATGAAACTTTGCTTTTTTAGATTTATCGGTATATGTTTCTTGATAGTTAAATTGGTTTTGTAATCAGAATTATTTATTTCTTTTTATGTAGTATCTGTTTACCCGAAAAATGGATAGAGTTGAATTTATACGCAGTTCCGAAGATATATGGTGTAACTTAATACAAAATGCAAGGATAAATAAAAATGTAAATGTGGATTGGAGAGAATGCAAAAATAGATAAGGTTATCAGGAACAATAAATCTTAGGATTCAACAAATAGAATCAATCTAAGGAGTTTGAAAGAGCGATTTTTTTTACTGTAGAAGAATATAGCACTTTTATTACAATGTAAGCCTGAGGAAAAACTTATCCTACAGAAATGATAACCAAGCCCTTTTATAGTGGAGGGATTTAGCTCTAAGCATAATAAAATAAACATTCAGTGGGAGACCCATGATAAGTCAGCTTTTCCATAATTTCTGCTAAGATTCTCTCTAGTGGGATTGCAACGGCTTTTGTCTGCGAGCTCGATCTTGCTTAGAACCCTCGATTTTGGTTTGAGCTTGATTTCGGCTCGAACTTGTGATCTTGGTTCGAGCTCGATCCTGGTTCGAGCCCTCGAATTGATTCGAGGTCAACGTTGGTTGGTCTCTGGATTATCAGCATGATAGGTCTACTCTGCATCATGGTTCGATTTCGATTCGAGCTTGATAATGATATTGAACTCGACACGGATCGGCCTCCCCGGGTTCGAGGTTAGTTTGGTCCACCTTCGGGATCTTACTTCGATAGATCATCGTTCGAACTCGATCGGACGGAAAGTAATTGCATTACGAGGAAATTAAAAGTTGGTTATTACAAACAACTAAAACTGATCGCATAGCAACCATTCCAGCATAGTCTGTTTATATGATGAGAACATGGTACCTTCAGATAAGCATGTTTCAGTTTTAATAATTAGCAAACAAAGTTTTTTAAAAAAAAAAAAAAAAGAAGAATGAAACTTTGCTTTTTTAGATTTATTGGTATATGTTTCTTGATAGTTAAATTGGTTTTGTAATCAGAATTATTTATTTCTTTTTATGTAGTATCATCGTGTGTTCTTGTTTTACGCTTAATTATATTTGGTGTTTCTTTTCTTTTGCAGTAGGAGGCAATGATTCATCAATTGGACAAGATCCAAACAACCAATGTACAGATTTGTTTCTTCCTTTTCGAGTCTTTTGTTCTTTCAAAGAAGTAAGAAAACCAATTTATACCTTTATCATGATTTTCCTTTGCTAATTGTTGCAGCGACAATAAGATTTAGAAAATGAAAGTAAAAATTTATAACATTCTTTTACACGAATTTTCAGGTAGCATATGACCTAATCACACTTGAAGGTCATGACATTGCTAAGGCTCTCATTGACTATGTTTCACTATATAGAGTTCAAAATTTGGTACTTGGTTGTCCATCAAAGAATGGGATTTCAAGGTACTTTTTTTCTTTTTATATCTGTGCAAAAGTACGTTAGAATTAAAAATTAGTAACTGCGAATTGATAGTCACATGAACTTTAATGACAGACTTTTCACTAAAAGTGATGTTGCAAATATTGTACTGAAAAAGGCACCGAGCTTTTGCAATATTTACATAGTTGCCAAAGGAAAGATCAGTTCTGCAAGATTGGCTTCTCACCCGTTGAAAAAGAGATCCTCAATTCCTAGCATACAAATTCCACAACGCAATTCCAACTTTGATGCAACTAGTTTCATGTAAGTGTAAATTATACACGTTTTTCAGGGTCATATTTGCATGTCACTTCTTATCACATTTTAAGTTTTTTCAGGGTAATTAGGGTCTAGTAAGCATTTGTTCTTTGCTGTTTGCATATTGTTTTGCTAAATTTGTGTTTCTCATCTTTGTGCTACAGATATACTATTGATTTAATAGCTTTGTATTTGATCACAAAATATGAAATTTTAGTAGCATGTGGCTGTAGAATTTGAGGTTCACTGCTGAGAAGCTAGAAATTAAGGCTGTAACATTCCATGCACTAGCTAGAATATTGGTTGAATGACCTCAAAAATACAAATCTGGTATAAGAAAAAAGAGAATCAGTTAAATTCAAGTATTTGACAACTCTTTTTCAAATTTCTGTCACAAAAATTCAAGGTCAGATGTAATACAGAGTTCTAAGTGTTAATTTCCCAATATTTCCTCCTTTTTTTGGCTTGGTACTTTAGTAACTTTTCAAGAAGATAGCCACATTTAGTCATGACACCTCCCATATGCATGGAAACAGGTCACCGTTTTCAAGGCTTAGTACATCAACAAACAAGATATCAGATGAGCTTAATGTGCCAAAAGCCGAGCACTCATTTCCAGGTTCGGATAGACTGAGCACGGATAGTGTATTCCTGGATTGCTATGATAATTTAGGATGTGAATTTCATCCTCGTCGTCCTTCAAAATCTTTGAATTTCATCGACAGCAAAAGTGGTGATCACCCTACGAGTTTCATTGGATCAAGGTTGTCTGGTTTTAGTCCTACAAGGTTGGTTGATCATCTTGACTCCGCATATGACTTTCTACTATCCGAACAGAAATGTGAAGAAAACTCATTGTCCTCAGATAAAATTGTAAGTTTTAAACTTCTTTCAGCTGTGTTAAGTATGATATGAAATATTTTCCTAGAGAGAATGTTTCTATAAGAAAAATTCAGATTAAAAGTATCCGATAGTAGCAGAGGGTTGGGGACAAAGAGTTGGTGATTATCATGAATAAGGAAAACGAAAATGTGTTCATATATTAGTATAAGTACCCTCAGCAAATAGTTGAGTGGTTGAGATGTAGGAGTAATAACTTGGAGACCCCTACTTCAAATCCCAACTTGTTGCAGGTGAAATTAGTTGGACTTGATCTAGAAATAGTCCAAATCTTCAGTTGCATACAACTACCAATTTTGTGATAAGACGATGCAGATCTTGGATTTAGTAATCTTCTAGCTAGTAAACCATGATGACTTTGTCAATTGACATTCTACATACTTTGCTGGTTTAGTGAACTCAGCTTTCAACAAATATTCCATCACTTGCTTCACATGAGGTAGATCATCAAGGTTATATTTTCTTGCAGGTTTCCTTGTGGCCTGAATCCATTATTAATGCCATTGATAATTCTATCGATTCTTGAAATAAGTTTAGGCATTTAGATGTAATTCGAGGCAAAGCAGTCTGGAAAGTGTTTGACTAATTTTCAGATTTGACTTTTTCACGTTCGCTTATTAGGTCATTGATTTTGGTAGGCATAGAATCTTCTTCCTTAGCAAGGTTGACTTTAATAAGTGGATCATAGGCTTAAAAGCTGGGTGATAGTCAACTACTCTAGCAAATAATATTGCCCTTTAATTTATACACGGTAGGGGATAGTTTGGATCCTTAAGTTGGGTGAACATAATGATAATTTGCTGATGGAGGATGTCTTTGACAATTTTCTCACCATTGTCAACCATCTAAGTGATTGATAGATGGTGGGTCAGCGTGGTGGTGGATCGCGAACCCCTGAGATGTGTTATAGCACATGGTCAAGACACCTACAATTCATAATTAACCTTCTGGCCTATCAGGACCATATGTGAGGAGTAAAATACGATTTCCACCATGTAGATGTCACCTGGTATGTTCTTGTTAGTTGGGATAATTTGCACTTGGTTCACTCTCAAGAAAATCAGTTTCCGGTGCAAGGAGGAAGGGTTTTTAAGTCTCTCCCTAAGAGGACATAGTAAGCAAGTTTGACGTATATGATAAATACTTCCATATTGGTTGTTTTACAGCCCACAAAGATTTCGGCAATCAGGACTCCTACTCTCCCGTGAAATTTTTCATCTTGCGGCTGGTTAGAATTAGATCAGTCTTGGTTTTGGCAACCTTCTTAAAACTGTTGATCCGCATGGTGTTGAGTGGCCGTTTTCATTAATGCTGCAAGGGCTTCAACTGTTGGGTTATACGAGATAGCTTCCTAAACATGATCATTGCAGGTTTCGTTATTTCGTATGCTAGGGTATTCTATTTTGCGTCGCCATTTTAGATATCCTTCAGGTTCTTCCAAGTCATCGGATAGTTCAAGGAATCATTGGGGGAGTATGATCACTAGTCCAATTTGGACTGCCATGTCGGTCTGCCACTCTTCTAATAAATAAGGCGATGCTGATGTCTTTGACTGCTCTACTACTCTGCAACTTTTCCTTTCTCAGACGCAATCTTTTGAGCTTCTTTCTTGAGTCTCTTCTCTGCTTGTTGGTTTTTTGTCCTTGAGTATTCTTCGTCGAATGCCAAGGGTGCATCTTTTGGTTAGTGCTACCTAGGTGATCATATGCTGTTTTTATTTGACCACCAATGTCGACGTTGAGTTTGATCATTTTTCCAGAAGTTTTCTTAATGTTGTTGATGATTGTGATGAAGACAACATATACCTTGTTTACCCGAAAAACGGATAGAGTTAAATTTGTACGTAGTTCTAAGGGTATGTGGTACAACTTGACACAAATCGTAAGAGTAAATAAAAATATCGAATGTTGACTGTAGAGAATGAAAAATAAGCAAAGTTGAAAAGATGATGATTTATGGATTAAGCAATATGAATCAATCTATGAAACTAAAAAAAAGGATAACTCTTCAATATGGGAGTGTATGATATCTCAGTTACAATGTATGCCAAACTTGATCATTTACTGAAATATAGTCATCCCTTTTATAGTGGGGGGATTCTACTTTAGATATAATTAAAAATATATAGTGGGGACCCATGATAAATCAGATTTTCCCTAATTCCCGTCGAGATTCTCTCCCTTAGTGCGGCTGTAACAGCTCTTGTCCATGAGCTCGATCTTGATCGGACACGGTATTGGTCGGTATTAGTTTTAGAGCTCGATGCGAGTTTGAGCTCGACGCCGACTCGGGGTCCGGTATTTACCTGAGTTCGGTATTGGTTGGCCTCTGGTTCTTAAGCTCGATTCTGCTGCTTCTTAGTATAGTTCGATTTGGACTCGAGCTCGATAATGACGTCGAGCTCGGTATTTAATCTGACTCCGAAACTCGAAGCTTGTTCGCGCTTTCTTCAAATCTCACCTCGATATTATGAAGATGCTCTTCGGTCCATCTTCACCAATCGTACGAAGGTTGAAAATAATTTTGACCGTATACAGATAGTCCCCTCGTTTCTCGGGAAGGATGTGGCGAGAAACGATATGATTTCCCAACGGCTCGATCACATACACGCTGACGTTTGCATCGAGCTCGATCATGACGTACGCAATAGCTATCCCATTGGTTTAGTTTACCAAGGCATTAAATGCGTGTGAGACGGTGGTCGGCCACCACTGATATTGAACCACCATTGCTCAATCTATAAATATCCCCTCCTTTTACCATTTATCACTTTTACATCTTCAATCTCCAAAATCTTTCTTCAAAAACACCAAATCTTTGTTACCTCCTTCTATTTTTGATCTTTAAATCCAAAATGGCGAAAACATCAAAAATCATTCCTCAAATAGAAAAAGCTTCTTCTTCACGGTCTGCCGCCGACAAAACACCGGTGGAGCCACGGCCTGAGGAGTGCATTCCTGGGGTGTGTGTTCTTACCTCTGATTTTAAGGTCGACAAAGGCTCGTCGGTTCCCGGCCGATGTGAGCCAGTATCGAGGTATATGTGTTCGATAACCGAGGGGTACCTTGAACAGATAAGAAAAGATTGTAATTGGGAGAACAAAGAAATAGTAATCCCGTCTCCTGAAGAAGATATCACCACTCACGTGAAATGGTTTTTAAGCATGTATACTTACCCTTTCATGTTAGGTCCTCTCGACCCTATTATTATTAATTTCTGCCGTCAATACCAAATAACCCTAGGCCAGATCCATCCTTCTTCTTGACGGATCATTATTTTGATTCGTTTCTTCGTGAACAAAATCGAGGGGATGCCTTTCACCCTCGACCATCTTATTCGATTGTACTGCCCTCGCCTCTTTAGAGGCAGGTTAATAAAGCCTCAGCGCTGGGCAACCAAGGTTTTGTTCTCGAACATAGACGAGGACAAGGATCGAGGCTAGATGGGCATGTTCGTTCGAGTGAAGACTTCGGATCTGATTCCGTCTAAAAAGATGCCATTTTTTGAGGAGTGGAACATGAAATGTAAGTGTAATTCTGTTGTTATCTCCTACTATTTTGCCCCTTCATTTCTTCCTCACCGATATCCCCCTTTTGTGATGCAGCGGTTCCTTGGATTCCCAGTGCAGTTCCTAACCTCAAGAACTGGGTATGAGGTCTAGCTTCGACCTCTACATATGCCGAGCGCTCATGGCGTGATTTGTCAAAGGGCCGATGGGAGGCCAAAAATCATGGTAAGCCTCTTTCTCGTATCTTTGGTAATTCGAACGAGATGCTCTCCATATACTTAAATCAATTTTCTAGTATGTAGGCCTGGGCAAAGATGCGGTTTTGAGGCTCCCGTCCGTCGAGGAAGAGGCTTCGGCCTCTATCCCAAAACCGGTGAAGGATAATAAGAGAAAAAGGGCCTCCGCTTCCAAAGATCCAAAACCAAAGACGGGGATGGCTCGTAAGGCGAGAAAGAATATCATCCCTTTGACCATAGAATCAGTCTTGCATCTAAGGGATAAAGACGAAGAAGAAGAAGAAGAAAACGACGGGTCCGTGCTGGTAGCCCGAGTGAAGAAAACCATTGATGCCCCAAAGGCAGCTGAATCGATGGTGATTTATAAGCTCTGCCTCGGACTGAGGAGATATCGGAGGAAGGTTCGGGCAGAGTCCCCGAATCGTTAGAGATCGAGGATGCTTCCCACCGAAGTCAACAAACGGTGGGTATATCAGAAAGGGCCGGTCCTGAAGCTCTCCNTAAGCTCTGCCTCGGACTGAGGAGATATCGGAGGAAGGTTCGGGCAGAGTCCCCGAATCGTTAGAGATCGAGGATGCTTCCCACCGAAGTCAACAAACGGTGGGTATATCAGAAGGGGCCGGTCCTGAAGCTCTCCAAACTAAGGAGAACGCCCCAAGCGAGTCGCTTGGGGCAGTAGTAATCGGAGACTCGCCAACTCTCCCTGCTTTTTCCGAAGGGGCGATTCGGGAAGCCCAAGCTTTGGGGGCCCTCGAGATAAACCGGTCTCATGAAGGGAAGGACCCTTTCTATGATTTGTTTACTAGGGTCGAGGATGTTGCTGGCCCTAGTAATGTGTTGGGCCTTTTCTGTGAAGTGCAACAAGCTTTGAATCGGATAAGCTTTAACTCCCTTCATTGATATTACTTTTATGTTTGCTATTCTTCTCAAACTTCTTTTCTTCTTTCTAACGTAGATCGCAGTGGTTCATCGAGAAGTATGTTCTCGGTCTCAGGCTGAGCTACGTCGGTACGAGGCTGACCTCCGACGGGTCACGGAGGATAGGAACGCCCTTAGACTCCTCTTCGGTCAAAGGGAAGAAGAAATCAAAGACCTCCGAGCTGAGTTGGCCAAGGCTTATCAAGACCAGACCGACCTGACCGAGCAGGTAATAATAATCTTAAAAACCCATGGGCTCGATCCTGGAATGGTGGCTATTATTTGGATCTCATAGCTGCAGCAGAAGCTTGAGGT